TGTGCAACTTTTAAGAAGTGCCATTCTTTGCTTATTAACAGTCTCAGGTGTGAGTGTGACTAGTGTAGGTTTATTTATGATTTAGTCTGTTGATTTATTTATTTATTTATTTATTTTAATTTGATGACTGAATCACTTTGGACCCTTTCCCTGAATTCCTGGCCTGGAAGCCTGAGATAACTTCAAGAATTATCATATTACTCTTGAAATCAGAGTTCTAGTTTCACTTTTGGTTTTGGCTCTGTGCTGTTCCTTGCTGTGTAATCTAATTAATTTTGCTCTCCTGTGTAAGACTTAACTTCTCTTACTAAAGTTATGGCAGATTACCAAAGCCATGAGTAGTGTCTGGGGGGGGTTAATTGTCATAATTTGTAGGACTTTTCTTTGTGGTTTTAGTTTATCTTAAAGAGCAAACAGTGAAGGTGTATGAAACTGTAACTGTGATAAATGCTGTGGTTTGGGTTGCTCTGTACAACACTGATTGCTTAATAGCTCAGTGAGTTGTTCTAACACTGTTAGTAAGGTGCAATTATGTTGCTGGTGTAAGAGGCTAACAGTGCAGTGCTCCCTCCTGATGGTAAATACATTTTAAAAAATACATCCTGAAAAGTTGGGAGAGAAGGACATTGGTGCCAGGCAGGTATGTGGTGTCAGGTGTGTCTTCTGAGGAGAGGTTGTATTTCCCCCAGCATGATGCTGTGCCATCAGTTCAGATTGATTCAGACATGTGATAAGAAAACATGATTTTTCTGAGCTTAATTCATCTCTCTAGGAAACCTGAGCAGAGTTTGCCAACCCCTGATGCTGATGTTTCCTTATTTCCTGCTTTCATGAAATGCTGCACTTTTCAGTAATGCTCCTTCCCTTTTCCTCAGCTCTGACACAACTCCTCTTCTAAATGGATCAAGCCAGGACAGAATGTTTGAGACCATGGCTGTGGAGATTGAGCAACTTCTGGGAAAGGTAATTGGAGTTACTGTGGGTTTAGGAAACATTTCAGTCAAGGTTTCTGCGACGGACGTGAGGAGATCCGAGTGTGGGTGTTAGACAAGGTGTTCATCTGCTGTTAGATCTGGCTCTTTCAGCTTGAGCATTGTAGTTTTCTTACAAAAATAAGCCATTTCATGGGGTTTTTTTTGGGATTGTTTCCTTCCTACAGCTGACTGGAATCAATGACAAAATGGCAGAGTACACCAACAGCGCGGGAGTGCCGTCCCTGAACGCGGCGCTGATGCACACCCTGCAGCGCCACAGAGACATCCTGCAGGTAACACTGTGCCTCCCTCTTGCCTTTCTGTCCTTTCTTTGCCTGCAGTAATCCATGGCAGTGCTGATAGCACAGCGTGCTGGAGTGGCTGACCAGGAGGTTGAAATGCCACTGATCCCACATCTCGTTTTTCTACTCTCCAGGCACTCTCTGAGCTGGAAAATAGAGCACTTTTTATGTCATATTGGTGATTAGTACTTAGCTAAGGAAGAACTGTAGAGTGTTCTGTCTTAGGGTGGGTTTTATACAGCCGAAGGGGAAGGTGCTGTAATGAGTTACCTTGTCTGTGTGGTTTGTCTCATAGAGCAGAGCAACATCACACTGCAGCACATGATTATAACACCTAAACTTCCAAAGATCTGAAGCTGCAGGAAATGTGCTGGTTAAAGCCACTGGTTAATGCTCTGAATGAACCATGTTTCAAACTGGGGGTGTTCTCATGGTATAGTGCTGTTAAAAATGTGGTTTATTTGGCTGGTCAGGTACAGTTGGGTTTCTGTTCTGTGTCTGCAATACACAGGGTAAAAAGCACAGTGTTCTGTAAGAGCCATAGCATTTGTGTGAGTGGTTACAGTAGGTTTGGTGGACACCAGTTTGCCCATTAAACTGGGATTTGAGAAGTATCAGTTGCTTGAAATGGTTTCAAATGTAAAATTGCTGCTTGAACATGAAAAAAAGGAAGTTGTCTTCACTGTTCAGAAAAAAACTTTTTTTTTGGTCTGGTGTAACAGCCAAATCAACCCGAGAACATCTTCACCACACCAACCAAGAAGGTTTTGCTAGGGCTTCTGATTCAACTGGTAACAGGAGATTCCAGCACAACCCACTTCTTCAGAAAGGTGAAGGTACATGAAACTGGGAGAAGGAATTACAGTGGTTTTAGCTGTAGCCATCAAATTCAGCAACTGCCATAAGAGCATTGAGTTTCAAAACACTTTGCATTAACTTCCAGCCATTTTTGCTGTTCATTTCCTATTTTAGTCTTGCACTTTGTATGAGGGAACAGTTAACAGTTTGAAAGGTGGTTGGATCTTCCTTGGGTGTGTTGTTAAATTGACCTCAGGATCCTAATTTTTGGAATAACTGTTTCATTCCAGGATTATACACACGAATTCCACAAAACCAAAGCAAACTTCTTGGCAATCCGAGAAAGGGAGAACCTGATGGGATCAGTACGGAAAGATATCGAGTGAGTCGTGTTGGTAGAGCAGTGGTTGGGATTGTCCTCAGAGGGAGCAGTTGGAAACCCTTCTGGAAAATACTTGGCATAGCTCACTTGTCCATACTCTGAATAAAGCAAAGTGCAATTGTTGAATTCTCAACTCTTATGAAGGTTCTGATAAGGTTCTGTGTTGGGTTTCAGATCATACAAAAGTGGCTCTGGTGTGAACAACAGAAGAACAGAATTATTCCTGAAGGAACACGAACACCTTCGAAAGTAGGTCTTGTTTCTTGCTCGCTTTTGTTGGTGCCTCACTCCTGTGGGAGACAAAACACTCTGGATTGCAGATGTGTGGAAGTTCTGTTTTTTTGGAATGCCTTGAACTATGTATTCTGTGCCAGTGCTGCTGGATAAACATTTATGGCTCCTGCTGAGCCTGAGGTGTGTGGAATAGGTAATAGTCATGGTAGTTGTCAGTGATTTTGGCTTTAGGATCTTGTCAAGGCTTAGTGACATCTGTGTTGTCTTTAATGAGCTTTTGCAACTCACTTGTGTGACTCAGTCCTTGGCCTTCTCCCAAGGGAGTCGATGCCTTTCCACATTGACTGGGATAAGGGTTAAGAAACGAAACAGAAACTCCCATAATTTGGCTGTTTCTCCCTTTTTATTTGTCAGAGTCAGGTAGAGAAGAACCTTTTTCCTCTCTTGAATGTGTACAAAAGGTGATGGAAGAGACTAATTCCAAAACTACCTGTGCACTTCAGTATTTGCCAATGGACTCTATTGACCCAGATAACAGCAAAATAGAAACCACTTGGTTGTTGCAGAGAGGGCAATAGGTGATGAGCAGCTGCTCTGTGTGTCCCTGTGCAGTAAAAGCAGCAGCAGCTCAGATCCTCCTGCTTGTCTCCTTGCCTGTGGCTGTGCTGGACCTCAGGCTCACACAAGAGGGCAGACTTTCATTTAGAAAAAAACCCCAAAAAACCAAATAAATAAAAAATTACCTCTGGTTTTCTCAGATGTGTTTTCTTATAGCTAACTTAAACTTACAGCCAGAACGGCACAAAAACCTTTTACAGGAAATTAAAGCTATTTTTTTCTTGATTGTGGTTTACCACCACTTCATCCTCAGTTTTAATATCTTCAAAACTTACAAATCAATTGATTTTTAAAGCTTGAATGATGAGTCTTGTTAGGTTGGATTTTATTATTAAACACATGTGATCATGAAACAGAAAGTTTCCAGGAAAATACCTCAATGTTAATATTTCAAAGGTGAATATGACCTGAAATGTACTTGAAGAATCAATGTCAGTTAATCTGAGTGAACTTGATTCTGTCAAGATGTTTAGGTTTTTTTGGTTTGCTTTAGTTTTTTTATTGGAGGGTGGTAAATACTTTTATACATTGGCATTTAGGTAAAGAAAGCAACAAATAAGATCTTTCTGGAGTTGTAAAATAGCCTTCTAAGCAACTGATTTTCCTCTAAGTGCACATTTAGTAAACATTTCAGTTTACAAAATGAAGATCTCTTCAGAGATTGAGCCTGACATTTGTTGAGGCAGTGATTATTTTGATCTTGTCAACATGCTAAACTCTCCAATGTGTTTTTAGGATTAAAATGCAGGACAAATAGAATTAAATAAGGCAGTTTTAGAAACAGTTAAAGCATCTTCTAGGTGTTGATTTGAAAATGTCAGGGCTTAGGAAAAAGCCTCACCATGACACTGAGGAAAGGAAACAAGAAGTGTCAGTTGGGGATCCTTAGGAAACAGGGCCAAAACTAATCATAGAATACTACTGCAAGGTGGAGATAGCTAAGAGCTGTGAAGAAATCCAGTGTAGAAGCAGAAGACAACGTTGGCAGGAAATCAAAGCTTTCAAGATGATCAAAACTTCTGAATTGAGAATCAGTAAGCTCAGGAAAAGATACTGGCAGAGGAAATTATTAAAGAGTTTCAACATATTTGTCTTCAAAGAAAGCAGTTAATGAGCTATTCATGCCAAAAAGGCTGTTAAAGCCATGAAAAGGTCCCAAGAAATCACCAGGAGCTGTGGCAGATTACACCCAACATGCTCCTAGGATAAACTGACAGCTCTGTGTGAGTTGGTGCTGAATGTTTGCAGTGCAGTAAATGCTGGTGCCAGACTGATTGACAGACCTGTGTGATGAGTATATTGACATTGTCACAAAGACACAAGGGGAACAATTCAGATGTGTTTTCAGTGGAGCAAAATGTATGAAAAGAGCTTGAAAAATGGACATTGGAGCATAAACTTTGCAAGTGTATTTTTGTATGGTGCAAAGCAATGAAATAATGCCATAGGAATTACATATGCATAGCAGATATTGGAGCATTCCCTTGGTCCTGACCCTGCTGAATGTTTGATATTAAGTACTTGGACCTGTTACATATTTATTCCATGAGCTGATAATGGAGAATGTGTGAGCTGTTGCCCCACTGCAGTCCCAGACTCTTCTGTCAGCCTTTTGCTTTATGCACAGCCATGTGAGACAGGATAAATGGCAACTGGAGTTTTCCCTGGGTGGGGTTTTCCATGAATGCTCTTAAAAAAGCTTCTGGCAGCTCTGGGCAGGATTGTTTGGGGAGGAAGAGGAGGAGAGTCAGGAAACTCTTTAGGATGGACTTTGGAAAGAAGCTTTTTGCCTAAATCTGCCCTTTTTTATTTTTTGTGTCCCATTTTGAATATCATCTCTTCCAGAAGAAAACTGAAGGAAAATCTGTATCTTAATGTTACATATGTAGGTGATCCTAAAAAAGGAAAGGAAATAATCTGTGAGTACAAAATGTTGATGAATAAAAGGATTCAGTGTACATTAAGCACTAAGGGAACAACAACAGCTGAAGCACAGTGTGCCTGTAATACATAGAACTGCTTTCCATTAGGCCATGAGGATCCTGGATCCATTTGGACTCCCTTTGCCAGGGTGGGGCTGGTGCTGTGTCAGTGCTGCTGGCACCAGTGTGTGCTTCACTTCCATGCTGGGATGATGGTGCCAGTGCTGCCCTCAGGCTGGGGGCATCAGGGCTCTGTGCTGTGCACCTCACTCCTGGGGGGTGAGAGGAAGCATAGCATAGAATCATAGAATCAACTGGGTTGGAAAAGACCTCCAGGATCATCAAGTCCAACCCTACTGTGGTCACTAGACCATGGCACTAAGTGCCACATCCAGTCTCAGCTTCAAAACCTCCAGGGATGGTGAATCCACCACCTCCCTGGGCAGCACATTCCAATGCCTGATCACTCTGTCTTGAAAAAATCTCTTCCTAATATCCAACCTAACCCTCCCCTGGCAGAGCTTGAGTCTGTGCCCTCTTGTCCTGCTGCTGGTTGCCTGGGAGCAGAGACCAACCCCCACCTGACTCCAACCTCCTGTCAGGGAGTTGCAGAGGGTGAGAAGGTCTCCCCTGAGCCTCCTCTTCTCCAGGCTGAACACCCCCAGCTCCCTCAGCCTCTCCTCATGGCACTTGTGCTCCAGTCCCTCCCCCAGCCTCGTTGCTCTTCTCTGGACCTGCTCCAGCCCCTCAATGTCCCTCCTGAGCTGAGGGCCCAGAACTGAGCACAGGATTCAAGGTGTGGCCTCAGCAGCACCGAGTGCAGGGGCAGAATCACCTCCCTGGTCCTGCTGACCACACTGTTCCTGCTCCAGCTCTTCTCTTTTTTTCTCTCTGATATTGTGCTCTTCTCTCTTTGAAAGCTTCACTGCTGCCTCCATTCATTTTGTAAATCAGGTGGTTGTGAGTTTTATTGGGAAAGGAGATTTGTCTAGAAATTCTCTTGGAATTGGACAGGAAGCATAAAGTTTCTGAGTCACTCAGTTTCCTACTTCTCTACAGTAATTCCAGGATAACTTTACCTACCTCTGGAGAGATTTGTCTACATTTATTAATAAAAATGTTAACCCCAGTAATTATAACAAGGCTGGAAGTCAGATCTTGGGGAATATTGATGCCCTGCTAATATTTTTACTTAATACCTCAGATTTTTTGGCATGTCACATGCTTAAAGAAACAGCAAATCTAGCATGGTCATGTTTGCCATTGACTTCTGCAAGCTTGTTTTCTTGGGTCTGTGCCATTCCCTGAAGGTGTTTAGTTTTTCCTGTGTGGATGCTTTTAACTAGGGATGCAAACAAGTCGTGTTCTTCCTTCTAATGCTGTTTTCCATCTAAAGAAAACAGTTTTGATGAATGGCTGTAGCTTAGTGTTTTAAAAACTGCTCTGAAAGTGCTGCCTCAGAGGAAAGAATTCTGTCAGCTTAGAGTCTGCCCTGAGAAATTCTGCAGTTATTGATGAGTTCTAGTCTAAGTCAGCAAAGAGAGGACTAATGTGCTTGATGACATTTGCAATATTGTGTGTGTGAGTGAAAATTTCCCTTGTGTTAGTCGTTGTGTTGTATGTGAGGGATATCAGCTGATACAGATGAATTTGTTTAAAAACTGATGAAGCTTCCAAAGTTCAGATAGAAATGAACAGATTTTATTACCTCTGATGATTTCCTTGTAAAACTAGATGAAAACTAGACCAATTAGTGGTCACCAACATTTGCTGTGGTAATTTCTTCTGTCCTTGTAGTGCCACTGTGTGACTGTTGCTTTATTACTCAGCTCCAGCACTCAAAAATTAGTCATTTATCCCTCTCCAAAAGAAGCAGCTGGTGGTGGAGCAGGTGCCAGTGCTGGTGCAGATATTGTTAGCTGTGTTTTTAATTGTTGTCAGGTGACTGCATGGTTCTGGTGAGTGTTGCTATGCAGCCTAGGAATCTCTCCAGTGAGAAAAACATCATCTCAGATGGAGCATCATGTGAGTGATGCAGAGAGGTGAGATGAACCTGCTCCAAGTGTTCAGGCACCACTGTGTGTCCTAGAAGGTTTAGCACTGGGACAGAGAGGGCTTAGAGTAGGTGGGTAAAAAAATCCTTGAGGGAGGAAAAAGAGGAGAGCAAACAAATCAGAGGGTTGTGTGCTCCATGTGAAAGAAAAGAGAAGTGAGCAAAAGAAATAACAGGAATCTGCAGCAGTTGCATAATGGTGCTATTAATATTACATACCTGAACTGATTAGGGGAAATTAATGTTTGTGCAGTACTTCATATATGTGAAGTACTTTGGAGTACTAAATATTTTTATTGCTGTTATGTTATTTCATTTTTCAAATTTCCTGGTGTTGTTTGGGCAGCAATGGGCACATTCCAGAGAGAATAGTTACCAGGAAACTGCTTTCAAACTCTGTTGTGATACAGGCCTCATCTTAA